TCCTCACCAAGAATTAGGTTCAACAGTTAACAAGAAAGCACAATGATATTTTCTAAGACTACAAAGGAAATATCTATCAAAGTATATTGATTTTTTCTTTTTAGGTTTCAGAGTTATTTATAGAGTTTTGTATAATTTGTATAAAAAAGGGGAAACTGTGTCTCCATAGATCATAGATGAGATAATCTAGAATGAAGATTCTCAAATTTCTTTGTTTTATCTCTAAGTTGCATGGGCTTTAATCATGTAAAATGGACTCATAGTTTCCTGCTTCGGAGCCACATAGGTCAGAATACAAATCATAGCTCCCTTCCTGGCCTGTCTGTTCCCACACCATGGAGAGACTCTCCAGGTAGTTCTCCTCCCTCATCTTTCCTATGTTCAGTCTGTCTGTATTCTTGGACAAGCACATGCTGTGTTTTATAAGACCCTGCCAGCTAGGAGTTTCCTGCAACCTTCCACCCCCTGAGGGAACAAGTCACATGCTGAAGGTTTTAAGCTGTGCCATGGGCTTCTCTACTGATATAACCTCATCCCACACAATCCACATCCTCAAGTCCCTGCTTTTGAAGTGAATCTTTAAACCTACACAAATTTATTAGCATGTCACATTTGAAAGCTAGCTGTGAACACCCACTGGCACAATTTCAGATTTTACCTCTACCCAACAAATGTCAGAGCACCTGAAGATTCACTACCAGAAAATGCAGCACAGTTCACACCAGTGGAATGGTATGCAAGCAAAACCCACCACAGGATCATGGTTAGGTAAAGCTCACGCTTGCCAAGGGAAGCACCATTTCCTTCATGCTGAAACCTAAGACTTCCATAGTGTCTGGAGGGAAAGACCTTGGGGACATGGATGCCACCTCATAGGCCATGGGGCCTCTCCTGTTATTCCTCAGCTGAGGTTTTCCCTATGGAATATCCCCTGTGTCTCATGGCAGTCAGCATTGAATGTGGGTGTGTGTTCTAGTCTATAGAGCAGGCTCTGGTTTATGGGGATGCTGCAAACTCCAACATGCAGATGTCGTACACAAACCCCATCAAGGCTGGAAAGAACTAGACCCAGCTCAGGCCAGATCCTTGACCTCAGACTCATTTCTTCTTCTTTCATTGGTTATCTTTGCCAAAATTTCCCTCCTCCTCATGTTAGATTTGGTACATCCAGGTGTATGTACTCAACCAGATACACAGGACTAGGGGGAGACATAGATTCCTTATAGGGAACTTTGCTCCAGCATGTTTGATTGTGGGGGTGACTGAGCTTTGAGTCGGCCTTAGTTGAATGCTGGGCACTGAGGTCCACAGGGTGCAGTCAGGAAGGAAGAAAATGATCAGGCTGATCATTGTCCATGAGGACAATGAAACCTGCATCTGTTCCTGATGACAAGGGTATCATGTGGAAGCCGGCCCTCAGTCAAGGACCAAAAAATGCTCACTAAGTCTGTGGTGTCTGTTTGCCCTATCCAGATGAGTCTGCAGAGAAGTGACAGGTGAAGATGCTGTCTCCCCCAACTCAATATCTCAAAAACACTCATGTAATACCCCAACTAGAAAACTACAGAAAGGGAATCAGGTAAATGTAATTCACCTCTGAGAAGATGACACATTACAAAGTCATTTCTGCTTTACTATTAGTGTCCATTTTGGCTAACAGTCTATTACAAAAATAATAATAATAAACCCTTTGCTATTGAGTCAATCCTGACTCATAGTGACCCTATAGGACAGGGTAGAACGGACCCATAGGATTTCCAAGGCTCTAATCTTTATGGAAGCAGACTGCCATGTCTTTCTCCCACAGAGCAGCTGGTGGGTTCAAACCCTCAGTCTTTTACTTAGCAACCAAATGCTTAACTACTGTGCTACCAGGGCTCGTTGATGGTCTATTAGCACCTGTGAATGTTTAACTAAGCCTCACATCCACTCTGTTTGAGGTGCCTACAGAGTCTTTTTGACCATTCACACACAGGCATGAAGACTCTGGGATCCCCAAGCTGCAGGACCCCTATCTGAGCAGTATGGTATGGGGCTTCATGTCTGTCCTTGGCCAGCAGCCAAGGGTCACACCCTTGGTGATGTGTGCAGTGTTTCCAGGCATGCAAGGGTGGTATCCAAGGTCCTGGACTTCTCTGGCCTCTGCACTTAGCTCCAGCAAACTCCAGGAACAAGCCCAGATGTGTGGTGGCTGCAAAGCCAAGAACCATGCATATTATTTTCCCTGAAGAATAAAAACATTTTCATTCAATCCAATATCCAGTCTTAGTGACACAAAAAATGAACCTGTGTCACAGTGGTTACAGCACTCGACTACTAACCTAAAGATCAGGGTTTTGGACCCACCAGCCACTCCAGAAGTGGTGAAACCCATATGAAATTGTGCACTACAGATTACTAAATAAACACAATTAAACACAATTAACTTGCTTACTTTAAGCCAGTGCACACCGTGCTTACTGATTAATCTGCCCATGTGGGAAATATCTGAGTTAAGAAAAGTAAAATTATAGGACAAGCCTGAATCATAATTAGACCTTTAAGGAATGGATTAAATATTAAAAGTTTGGTCTTACTCTTTAATGACTTGTGGTTACAGGTGGATGCCCAGTGGATAACTGGGGCTCCTTCCAGCAGTTCCTGCTATTCAGCTTCTACAGAGGGATTCTAAAGGGTAAGATTAGCACTAGATATGATCCTGGACTTTAGTGGGCACATGGAGGATTCTGAGAGACCACACCAGGGCAGTATAGTCATTGGGCCACAGGGACATGACTTTTGGTCTAGGTTTCTTCTTAGTTCCTCCACTTCTCCATTTCTCAATGTAGGGGTAAGGAAATACAAGAGATTATGCTATTCCACTGGCTCTGCTTTCCACGTCCACTCTCTTCACACACTCTCCTTGGTTTCTCCGCTCATGCTTCACTGTGTCCCATCTCCATGGAGTTCACTTGGACACCTACCACCTGACGACATGGCTTTGTTTCCAAGACAGATTCACTTCTACTTGACCATTGGGCAGCATCTGAGGATCATTCTCTTTAAAATGGACCACAGACTCTACTCTAGGAAAAAGGAAGAAAAGGAAAAGGAATGATGTGACCACTGGCCCCCATTGCAGCCTCACAGAAATCCTAAGAACCCATAGTGCCCAATGGTACCCTCCAGCCACCATCCACTGTAGGCTAGTCATCATTCATCAGACCCTCCACATTAGGGGCCTTGATTACCTGCTGAGTCCACTGTTTACCCCTCATCATCACTCACCCAACAAGTGTATGATGAGCACTAACATGGTCCTCACACTCCTCTAAGCACTAAGCAAAGAATGTAAATAAAGATTCTCTCCCTAATAAGGTTATATTAATGTGCGATGAGATATAGAAGATAAAGCCAATGATATGACAATATAAAAATGATGTTAAATACCAAAACAAAACAGAAAGCAAGAAAGGGAGATAGAGATTGTACAAAGTGGAGTTGGGTTGGGAACTTTAATGGAATTTTATCATCTATCATTCATTTTCACTCCCATAGACTACTACAATATACCAAGCCTTACAGTTTGAAAGTCTGAGTCTGATAATTGCAGTATATGGAGCCCCAGGAGTTCTAAAAATGCTCTGTGCTTATTTTCATTCATTTTGTCTTGTGCTTAATTCCTTTCAATGCATACAGGATGTTGTAATTAAATATTCATTTCAGTAATCAGAATAAACTTGTGATGTTATCTTATTTAGATATGACATTGGCTTTTTTTTTTTTTTTTTTGACACCAGGACCCATAGAAACCTTAGCAGTGAGGGGTCGTTGGAATGTAGCAGGTTATGTACTGAGCATTCCTCCTCCATCGGTTATTTTGGACAATTGCTACTTACTACTACTGGCGGTTTGTTGTCAAATGTAGACATATCAGAGAACAGCCCAAAGCCCAGTCTGTGAGCAGAGCTGAAAATAGTATGGCCTCATAGTCCTGGGGTTCACTCCAAATGGCCTTCTCTTTGCCATGGCACAGTCTAGGAGATGCCCTCCTCAGAGTGCCACTTCACTCCATGGTTCTGAGATTGACAGCCAGGTCTGAGGGTCTCCTGGGGAATGAGGGCAGAAGGAATAGTACTCAGGGCTTAGTTCAAATGGAGTAAGAGAGTGAGTGATAATAAAACCATGCCCCTTTTCATTTACTCTGAATTCACTAGACTGTAAAAACTGAAGCTGTCATTGTTGTTTCATGTGTTTGATATATTTTATGATTTATGTTTTAACCCATAAGAGTACCAAGCACATTCCATATGTGTCTCAAGTATTTTTTATTCAGAACAATTGAAGCATAAGATTTTGGTAAAGCTCTTTTCTTTGTTTCATCCCACTTCCTCCCATTATGTAAAAATAAACAATCAAAAACATAGCTTTTAATGCTTGTTCAGTAGCACCCCATGATGAGAATATACTTAAGGCATTTTTCCATATTAACATATTTTCCAAAGCCATTCAGTGCTTTAAATAAAATAAGTGATGAATAGTAAGACTATGTACATTTTCATTTACTCTAAATCCATTACACTGCAAGAAATTCAACTGTCATTGTCTCTGCACGTTTCTGAATCTTTAATGATCTATATTTTGTTTGATTTTGTGTTTTGATAGTTACAGAAAAAAATCATATTATCCAGGTTTCTTTATCCCTTATCCTCCTGCAAAAACTCAGTTTACTAACCATGACTTCCAACTTACCTTCCAAGGAAAGCTCAGAAAGGAGAAGCATGTCGAGGCCCATGGGAAAAACACCCCCAGAGTTTATTCACTGAGCATCTCCTTTTTCTGGTGGGTTTCCTCCACTACTCAGTCAGACTGGGAGCCTTGTCCTGACCCTTCCCTATAGAAGAGCCACAGAATCAGTGACCTCCCACTGACAGGAAAGCTCTGCCTTGTGCCCTGCAGCTCCACACATGCAAATAAACCAGAATCAAAAGGAAGTCATGCTGGGGTGTAGAATGTCATCTGCCTCCTTGTTCTGGGTTAGGGTCTTTGTGAAGAAGGTTCCCCACCCAGACACACATGGAGTCCCTGCCAGTCTTCCTCTACCTGTTGGCCATTCTCCACGGTGAGTGACCTTGGAATGACAGAAAAGGGTGATGATGAGTCAATGTGTCTGTGTTACTCACAATGGTCCCCTGTTTCCAGGTGTTGAAGCCAAGGATCACATTGTGCAATGGGGAGAGGGGACAGTGGTCTCCTCGCAAAAGCTCAGTCTCGCTTGTGCCACCTACACACTTCCAGTTTCTGAATCTTCTGTGTCGTGGATCCGCCTTCGTCCAGGAAAGGGGCTGGAGTGGGTCGGTGTAATATGGGCTAACGGAAACACCAACTACAGCCCCAACCTTCAGTCTCGGGTGAGCATCTCCAGGGACACAGGAAAGAACCAGGTGTTCTTACAGCTGAGCACTGTGACTGCTGAGGACACAGGCATGTATTACTGCACCCAAGACACTGTGGTCCAGATTCACTGGGAGCCCAGACATAAACCTCCCCTGCAGGGGACAGGAGGGGCTCAGCTGCAGAGGGTGTTCAGGAATCACCAAGTAAGTGTCCAGCCACAGGGGAAGGTGTACAGTGTGTTGAGGAGGGGCTTCCTGTGGGATCTAGAAATTCCTCTGCTCTCTTAGCTCTCAGCTGCCACCATGGACACTTTGTGGCCTATTTCTTGCTGCTCTAATTCCTCACATTCTCACTGCAGCCTTGGAAGGAGGAAGTAAATTTCTCAGTTTACAGATGAGATTTTCCAGTTAACAGTGAACTTTCCTCTACCATTTTCCTATACAACATGATTTTCCTCTGGACTAACAGCAAGTCCTGAAGAATCTAGTTGCCTCTGTGATTGAGACATATTTCCCATAAAGAGAAACCCCACCGTGGTCCACGTATCCTGCATACCTAACTCACACTCTGTCCAGTCAGACAGGCTCACAGAGTCATCACATGGTCCTCTTCCCTCAAACAGGTGCACACTATACCCACAAGGGCCCCTTCCTCAGACAGGCTCACCCTGTTCCACATGGACCCCTTCTGTCTGACAGGAACATACTGTCCCCACATGAACTCCTTCCATCAAACATGTTCATACTGTCCCTAAGTGGACCTCTACAGTCAGACAGGCACATACTGTCCCCACTTGGTCCCCTTCCCTCAGACAGGCACACATTGTCCCTACATGGGCTTCTTCCTTCAGATGGGTACACACTGTCCTTATGTGGGCTCTTTCTCTTAGACAGGTAGACACTGTCCACACATGGGCCCCATCCCTCAGATAGGCTCACTCTCTCACCATGTGGGCCCCCTCCCTCAGATAGGCACACAGTGTCCCCACATGAACTCCCTCCCTTGGATAGGTTCATATTGTCCCCAGTCTGGTGTAATCAGGACTCTGTTCCACCAGGAGTCTGTGTCTAAAATTAGCATTCAGACCTAAATTAGTACAGAGGAGAAAATTTACAGATTACAATGGATTTTGGAGGGAAAAAAGAACATCAAAACCAAATAACCTGATTCAAATTAAAGTATGATCGTTGAAATAAGTTATTGCTACGTTGGTCTTAATTCGAATTATAAAGTTTTACAATGAGAAAGACATTATTAAGAGGCTCAAAAGACAAGCTACACAATGGAAGAAAAGATTTTGTAAACACATATCTTATAGAGAACTGACATAAAATACTCAAAGAATTCCTAAACTTAGCTATAAGATAAAAAAAAAAAACACAATTCAAAAAAAAGGCAAAAATATTAACAGATACCTGATCTAAAAAGATATACAAATGATAAATATGAGTATAAAAATGTCCAACCTCATTTTCCATTAATGAACTGCAAATTAAAATGTCAATGAAATACCACTGTACACCTATCAGAATGGTTACAATTAAAAGAAAATTATAATATCAATTTCTGGCAAAAATGTAAAGCAGCAAGAACCATCATTCATTGCTAGTGGAAATCAAAAATGTCACAGCCAATTTGGAAGAGAAAGTGGCAGTTTCTCACAACACTAATAATAGCACTGTACAATCACATAATAAATATTTTCCTTGATACTCCAACTCCCTCAGAACACTCCTTTCTGTTCTTGGATATTGCCCTCTCTGAAGTCATCCAACCCTAGAGCTTGCTATGTAAGAGAATGACCTGAAAATAGGGCCTCTCCCTCTGCTGATGAAAACATGCCTAGCCCAAACCCAGCAGCTCTGAGAGAGGAGCCTGAGCTCGAGGATTCCCAGGTGTCCCCATTCAATGATCTGTACTAAACACAGATGAATCACCATGGAATCTGTCCTGAGCTGGGCTTTCCTTGTAGCTATTTTAAAAGGCAATTTAATGGAGAACAAGAGATGTTAAATATGAACAGGTATGAGTGACAGAAACAGTGCCGATGTGTGCAGGGGTTTCCTGACAAGGTCTGGGTATTACTTTTTCAAAAAAAAATTGAAATAGGAATTTGACAAGGGTTGCTGATGTGTCTATAAATATCCTATTCTATCAGGAGTATTTGTTTAGCTCACTAAGGCAAAGAGAATCACATTTAAAAAGGTATTTCTAGGGCTTATAAACATCACAATAGTGAGGAGCAGAAGGCAGATGGTTTCATTAATATAGTGGGTCTAGAATTATGGGAGAAAAACTGATCCTAGGAATAAGACATTCAGATGTCAAGCCTGGGTGACATTGTCTGGCCTGGATGTATAAGAGCAAAGTGGTGGTTCAGAGGTGGTTGCATGTGTGCATGAATCCCATTTGATCAGAAATCAGGCAGTAAAGATGAGGAATAATGGAGCTGCACAGAAAATGCATACATTCTGTAAGAAATTTTATTATGCAGAGTTCAGGTTGAAACACAAATTTATTGAAAACACAGATTCCTGTGAAAGGTGATGGAAGCTGTGAGTTTATCAACAGCCCCTTAACATTCTTATTATCAGAGGGATGAGAAACACAGCCCTGGATCACTCATCAAAGGCCTGATCTGAGAACCAAGAGTCTTTTTTACTGAACATCCTGGGGGCTTAATACCACCAGACAGTTTCTTGGAGAAATTATCTCCTGTGTTAGAAACCAATTTCACAGCTGCCCGTAGATACTGACACTGATGAATAATGACAACAATCCTGCTCTCAAGAGTTATCATGGGCTGTGTTCGGTGCCTCAGGGGACCAGAATGTAGTCAATGCATATGGTCAGAATCACATGGGCCCCAGAAAAGGTCCGGGTGATCTCTAATCCACTCAAACCTGAAGTCACAAGAAGTGTCATGCAGTGGATGCTGTGCTCCTCAGTGGGAATAGCCCTGTCTGCAGAGTGTTTATGAACATTTCATAATGATGTAAATGTTCAACAGGGGTTAAGACTTGAACTCTCAGCATTCTAGGGTTGTGTAGACCCTGTGTCTTTTCCTTCTTACACTAGCCCAGGTCTTCATCTATAAAACATTCTGCCCCTTGAATATGCAAATGTGAAGCTTATTGAGTTAAATATCATGTCTCTGTCTCCCAGAGCATAACCCAGTAACCACACACACTCTCACCCCTTCAGAGTCCCCTGAGAACATTGGTCAATCCCATGGATTTGAGCTGGAGAACCCTCTTCTTTGTGACAGAAGCTACAGGTAAGTTAGTCTCCAGTCTAAGAGCTGAAGAGGGGGTTACAGCCACTCAAGGGAGAAATCATTCAGTCATGTCTCATCACGATGAGAGACAAAGTTAGATCTTGAGAATATCCCAGGTCCGGCTGGTGCAGTCAGGGGCTGAGATGAGGAAGCCTGGAGCATCAGTGAAGATCTCCTGCAAGGCTTCTGGATACACCTTTACCAGTTGCTGTATGCACTGGTTGCAACAGGCTAATGGAAAAGGGCTTGAGTACATGTGACAAACATAAACAGGCAGTGGTGGAACAAGCTATGTGTAGAAGTTCCAGGACAAACTCACCAGAACTAGTGACATGTCCTTGAGCACAGCCTATATAGAGCTGAGCAGTCCGGGCTCTGAGGATACGGCCTTGTATCACTCTGCAGAAGACACAACATGATAACCACATCATGAGCGTGTCAGAAATCCTGATGGAGAAGACAACTGTTTTCAAGTCAAGGAGATTACAGGGACAATTTGGGTGATAACTTCCTTAATTAAGTAATTGAGAAAAAAAGAACAACAGAAACATGTATTAATTCTAGATGAGGAACAATGGGAGCCAACTAAGCATACATAAATATGGTATAAAATTCTATCATTTGGAGTTCAGGAATGACACACACAGTTAATGAAAGCACAAATTTTCCCTATAACAATTATCCATAAGCAAAATTCATAGGGAGGGGAGAGGTTCAAATGAAAAAAGCGGATATAAGCATTCACATGGAGGCTTTTGTTTGAATCTAAGTTTTTAAGTCAGTTGGGTGTATATCTTGGAACATAATTACTAATTACATAGTAACACTACATTTAATGCCACAAGAAACTGTCACACTGTCTTCCAAAGTGTCTGCATCATTTTGCATTCCCTCAGCTATGAATAAGAATTCCTAGTGTTCCAAATTCTTGTCAGAATTTGGTATTGACAGTATTTTTTATTTTTGCCATTTTGATAGGTTAGTAGTGCTATTGCATTGTTGTTTTAACCTACATTTCCCTAATGAAACATCATTTTGAATATCTTTCCATATATATTTAGATAAGAAGTCTGTTTAGATCATAGACCCATTGCCCATTTTTTTAATTACATAGTTTATTTTCTTTCATTCAGTTTTAAGTGTCCTTGTATATTCATGATACAATTCATTTACAAAATATATTATTTGTAAATGTTTCTCCAGGCTGTGAGTTTTCTTTTCATTCCCTTAAAAATGTCTTTTGTAAAACAGAATGTTTTAGTTTTGACATAGACCAATTTATCAATGTTTTCCCTTCCATGGATCATGTGTTTGCTGTTAAATCTAAAAACTCATTGTCAAAGCCAAAGCACTGTCATGGATTTAATTGAGACCCCCAAAAATATATCTTGACTTGGCTAGGACATATTTTCATTTATTGTGTTGTTACCCTCCAATTTGTGATCTGATATGATTATCCTCCATTTTGTGATGTGTAGTAAATCCTGAGCTCTTTGTGTTAAAGTTTACAAGAGCTAAAGTCAGACCTTGGGTATATCTCACCTGAATTTAGAGACCATGTCAAGAAGATATTATATACATTGAACACTAAAGACTGAAGACCAGACAAGTTGTGGAATGACATCAAGGACATCATATATGAAGAAAGCAAAGGGTCATTAAAAAGACAGGAAAGAAAGAAAAGACCAAAATGGGTGTAAGAAGAGACTCTGAACTTACTCTTGAATGTGGAGTAGCTAAAACAAAGGGAAGAGATAATGAAGTAGAAGCGCTGAATAGAAGATTTCAAAGGGCACCTCGAGAAAACAAAGTAAATTATTATAATGAAATTTGCAAAAATTTGGAGTTTAAAAGCCAAAAGGGAAGAAGACCATCAGTGTTTCTCATGCTGAAAGAACTCAAGAAAAATTTAAGCCTTGAGTTGCAGTATTGAAGGAGTCTATGGGCAAAATGTTGAATGATGCAAGAAGCATCAAAAAAAGATGAAAGGAATACAGAGAGTTACTGTACCAAAAATAATTGGTCCATGTTCTACAATTTTAAGAGGTAGCATATGATCAAGAACCAATAGTATTGAAGAAGTCTAAGCTGCACTGAAGACATGGGTTAAAAAAACATGGCTCCTGGAATTGACGGAATACCAATTGAGATGTTTCAACAAACAGATGCAGCGCTGAATGTGCTCATTCATCTATGCCAAGAAATTTACAAGATGGCTACCTGGCAAACCAACTGGAAGAGATCCACATCTGTGCCTATTCCAAAGAAAAGTGATAACAACAGAAATTATTGAGGAAAGCATTAATATCAGACAAAAGTAAAAATTTTCTGAAGATCATTCAAAAGTACATGCAGCAGTACATTGACTGGGAACCGCCAGAAGTTCAAGCTAGATTCAGATGAAGACGTGGAACAACTGATATTATTGCTGATGTCAGACGGATCTTGGCTGAAAGCTGAGAATAACAGAAAGATGTTTACCTGAATTTTATTGACTATGCAAAGGCATTCAACTGTGTGGATCATGACAAATCATGGATAACATTGAAGAATGGGAATTCCAGAACACTTAATTGTGCCCAAGAGGAAACTGTACATAGGCCAAGGGGCAGTCATTGGAACACAACAAAGGGATTCTGGATGGTTTAAAGATGTGCATCAGGGCTGTATCTTTTGCCATACTTATCCAATCTGTATGCTGATCAAATAAACCAAGGAGCTGGACTATGTGAAGAAGAATGCAACATCAGGATTGGAGAAAGACTTCTTAAAACCTGTGATATGCAGATGACACAACCTTGCTTGCAGAAAGTGTCGAGGACTTGAAGCACTTACCAATGAAGACCAAAAACTATAGCCTTCAGTATGGGTTACACCTCTACATAAAGAAAAGAAAAATCCTCACAGCTGGACCAATAAGCAATATCATGATAAACAGTGAAAAGTTTGAAATTGTCAAGGATTTCATTTTACTTAGATTCTCACTCAACGCCCATGGGAGCCGTTGTCAGGAAATCAAACAAAGTGTTGCTCTGGGCAAATCTGCTGCAAAAGACCACTTTGAAGTGTTGAAAAGATAATATGTCACCTTGAGGACTAAGATGCTCCTGATTCAAGCCATAGTATTTTCAATTGTCTCATATGCATGAGACAACAGGACTGTAAATAAGGAACAGAGAAGAAGAATTGAATTATGGTGTTGATGAAGAATATTGGATATTCTAACAGAAGAATGAACAAATCTGTCTTGGAAGAAGTACAGCCAGAAAGTTCCTTAGAATTAAGGATGACGAAACATCATCTCACATATTTTGGACATATTATCCGGAGGGACTAGTCCCTGGAGAGCATCATATTTGATAAAAGGGTCAGTGAAAAAGATGAAGTTCCTCTGTGAGATGGCTTGACACAGTGTCTGTAACGATGGGCTCAAGCATCACAATGATTGTGAGGATTGTGCAGGACCATGCATCATTTAGTTCTATTGTGCGTAAGGTCGCTATGAGTCGGAACGGACTAGAAGACACCCAGCAACAGCACATAGGAGAGTCATTTCTACTATTTTCCTTACTTTGAAGCTCTCTTTGAAATGGATGTTCTCATACATAAGAAAATCAGTTCCTTGGGATTCTTTTTCTATCAGCATTTGTGCACTGTGCTCATCTTAGGTATTTCAGAAATTTGTAATAGGAATTAAGAGTCTATCATAACTGACTCATAACTGTTCTTCTTGTTGCAAGGTAGACTGATCCAGGTGTATTTGGAGGATTTGAGCCTAGGAGTGGGGAAGCTTCACAGATCCTCTCATTTATTTGTTCAGTCTTTGAATAATGTGATCAATATTTAGGCATTGCTCTCAAGAAAGGTAGTTTTACTTTACATTTCTGTTTTACTGTGTAATATTGTGGAATTTGTCACACATTTATGATTTCTTATGTTACAATATTAAAATGATGGAAGCTTTTGTTATACAGTGGATAGCTTCTAGAACAAATTATGAGGAATTACTTGGCATGTTAGTGACCAGCAGAGAGCAACATAGTCCTGAGGGACAAGGAGGACCTAAAACACAAAGCTCAACCCATACCACTAGTGCTTATTAAGATCCCAGAGAAAGTGCAGGTCAGTGATAGGGTCTGGGTGGGTTTGATCAGCACAGGACCAGACTCCTTCAGGGTGACCTGGGAAAGAACCCCTGTGAAGAAAGCACAAGATAAGGGGGAAGCCAGTTCACGTGGATAACAGGAATATTTTCACCCCTGGTGATTGCCTGACCAAAGCACTCACATGAAAGGATGGTCAGTAGTAGGAGAGTGGAACAAAACATGTTCATGGTGGAAAACAGGAGTCACTGATGCAAGTCTAGGGTACAGCTTTTCAACCCAGGAGAGAGTGGGGCTTGCGGAAGTTTGCATTCCCTTTAAACAGATTTTGACCCTATAGAGGAAACCCTGGTGGCATAGTGGTTAAGAGCCACTACTGCTAACCAAAAGGTCAGCAGTTGTATTCCATCAGGTGCTCCTTGGAAAATCTATGGGGCAATTCTTCTCTGTCCTATAGGGTCTTTATGAGTTGGAGTTGACTCGATGGCAATTGGTTTGTTTTTTTGTTTGTTTGTTTTAAAACAACAAATACATTCAGTATCTAATGAAATAATTAGCCTAAATGTGAGTGGCTTCAAGTTTAGTTAATCCAATGGTCCATGTACCCAGGGAGTTTCTTTCCCTAATTTTCTACTCTAATACACTCAGTATGTTCAGCTTCACACTCCAGTTGATCCCCATTGTCTGTGGACATGGTAACAGCTGTCAAGGGGGTCACATGGCGATAATGACTTTGGGCTGGGGACTCACAGAGGTAACACTTCTTCTATATCATGAGTCATGGAAAAACACATCTCTGA